CCCCGACTGGAGGGGCTCCTAAGCGCATGCTTGGAGAGAGGCCAATTCCCCGCTTCGTTGGAAGACGGTGAAGCTGGTCCTCATTCGGAAGCCGGGGCGCCCTGCGGACTCTCCGTCCGCATACCGGCCCGTGGTGCTGCTTGACGAGGTGGGCAAGCTCTTTGAAAGAGTCATTGCAAACCGCCTCGCCGAGCACCTTGCGGGGACGGGGCCGGATCTTGCGGAACACCAGTTTGGTTTCCGCAAGAGGCGCTCTACGGTGGAAGCCATCATGCGCGTGAAAGCCCTCACGACGGGGGATGCAGTGGCCAGAGGGGGGTTGTCTTGGCGGTGTCTCTCGACATCGCCAACGCCTTCAACTCCATGCCCTGGAGCTGCATTAGGGAGGCACTCCGGTATCACCGGGTGCCGACCTATCTCCGACGTATAGTCGGGGACTATCTGACGGACAGGGCCGTCATCTACCCCGGTCGCAACGGTGAATGGAACCGGCGAGAGATGTCGTGCGGTGTCCCACAGGGTTCGGTTCTGGGGCCACCTCTGTGGAACATCGGTTATGACTGGGTGCTGCGCGCCGACTTCCCTACCGGCGTCAGCGTAATTTGCTACGCTGACGACACGCTGGTACTGGCACAAGGGGGGTCGTACGAGGCGGCGGCGAAAACTATGACACGCGGGGTTGCGATAGTCGTTGAGAGGATTCGGCAACTGGGTCTCGAGGTGGCTCTGCACAAGTCCGAGGCCATGCACTTCCATGGTCCTCGGAACAGGCCACCACCGGGATCCTCGGTAATGGTAGGAGGGGTATCCATCGGCGTCGAGTCGACGCTGAAGTACCTAGGACTCGTCCTCGACGGCCGATGGAACTTCGTTGAGCACTTCCGACGTTTGGCTCCCAAACTGGAACGGACCGGGGCTGCCTTCAGGCGACTCCTGCCGAACCTGGGGGGGCCAAACGCCTCCTGCCGGAGGCTCTACGCGGGGATCGTGCGATCCATGGCCCTTTACGGGGCCCCGGTGTGGGCGCGTGGTTTGGCGCGGCTTGCCGTCCACCACCTGAACGCGCCCCAAAGGGTGGTCGCCGTGAAAATGGTTCGCGGCTACCGCACGATCTCCCGCGAGGCGGCGAGCCTCCTTGCCGGATTGCCGCCATGGGATCTGGAGGCGGTAGTCCTCACACGCCTGCACGAATGGCGCGCGGAGGCACTATGCCGGGGGGAAACCCCGCTGCCACGGCAAGTTGTCGCGCAGCGGACAGACTTCCGGCACGATCTCATGGCGACATGGAGAGAGCGACTGTCGCAACCCCGTGCTGGGCACGCCACTATAGCGGCGATAAGACCCCTCTTTGAGGAGTGGCTTGAGAGACGCCACGGCATCCTCACCTTCCGCCTGACTCAGGTCCTCACCGGACAAGGTGTGTTCGGGAGGTTCCTGCACCGAATCGGGCGGGAGGAAACGCCCGGGTGCTCCCACTGCGAGGATGGACCAGAGGATATGGTGGAACACACCGTGGAGGTGTGCCCTGCTTGGGCGGAGCACCGCCGTGTCCTCGTAGCGGCGATAGGCGGCGGCGACCTCTCGCGTCCGGCCCTGGTCGAAGCCATGGTCCGGAGCGAGACGGAATGGGATGCCGTCACCACCTTCTGCGAAGCAGTGATGCTAGCGAAGGAGGTGGCGGAGCGGGAGAAGGAAAGAGCAGCAGCTTTTCTCCCCGGCCGCCGCGGGAGACGCCCCGGGCGTCGGGGGCTACGTCGTGGCCCCCGGCTACCGTAGGCGCGGGCCTGTGGATGGCGAGCAATGGGTAGCTCGTCGTCCGTCCGTCTAACGATGACAGGCCGTGTCGACGGCGCGTTTTGTTCCACGCGCGCCTCAAAGAGCTGTCAGCAGCGTGATGGGGCCCGCAAGGGCCGACGCCTGCCGGGGCTGCAGGCTATTCGAAAGAGATACCGCGGCTCCGGAACGTAAGGGCACTGAAGGAACACGGATGGTTTTTAGTCAGTAAAAGTCTGACACTCCCTTACGCTCCACCCAGAGCGAGAGGGGTCATTAGATGATTTTCCATCCGCAAAAAAAAAAAAAAAAACGCTTCGAGCAATTTACATCCGAAGACCATGGAGACGAGTGGCGTCGCATGAAGGCTCAGATTATAAACCTCAAAAACAAGAAAGCGCACCACTCAGCGTACATGACATACAACAATATTCAGTTATGTACACAATACTGGGATTGATCATACTAGGCGCATCCATTTACATCATTATACGATGTTGCAGAACCAAGAGAGCACTAAACATGACAGCAAACACTCCCGTAATCTCCATTCCTATGGCGGCAGTCTCGAGCGGAGACCAGGAACCTGCGCCAAGGACGATACCGCGATCCGTGCGACTGGACATTCCATCACAAGTGTAGTGCAGTGATGAAATATTTAAGGAATTCTTTTATTATTTTACGATTTTATTTTTGTACTTTGAATTGTTATCATATTATTATTGTGGGGTATCTATATAGTTTTCTCATCTGGTTGGATTCTATAAATATATAATTATAAATGAGAATGAAAAGATAAATATACATAAATATCAATAACATAAAATAAATATAAAAATACTTAAATAAATAAAAGCCCAACCAGATGGAGGCCCTCGGCAGGGGGAGACCAAACGGCCGAGGGTTAGGGGGAAAGGGCGGACGATGCGGGCGGTATCGAGAAGCACCGCCTTTTGCATTTGAGCCCGGAGCGGTCCGTCACGAAGTCCCAGTCGCCTCAGATTACCCGAGAGGCTGACTGGGATTAGCCCATTCGCAGAGACGACTACAGGAATAATTTCGGCCGGCAGACCACCCCACATATCGGTCACCTCGTGAGCCAGGTCCAAATATTTTGTTCATTTATCTGTTCGGCTTTCACGAGGTTCTCGTCATACGGAATGGTAATGTCGACCAAAAATATCCTTGACTGTGCCCGGTCCATCAGCACAATATCAGGCTTATTCGCAAGAATAGTCCTGTCTGTGATGATGGCCCGGTCCCAGTAGAGCCTGGCGCGGTCATTTTCGAGCACGGCTTCCGGCAAGTACTTGTAATACGGCAATTTCCGGTCCACGAGACCATATTTCAGAGCGAGCTCCTGGTGTAGAATTCTGGCTACTAGGTTGTGCCTGTGCAAGTACTCAGAGTTAGAAAGCGCCGAACAACCGGAGATGACATGCCTAAGTGATTCACCGGGATGGCGACAAGCTCGACAGACGTCGACGGTGCCATCCTTTAGGATGTATCTCCAATAGTTGTTGGTCTTAATAACCTGATCCTGTATTGCACAGACAAAACCCTCGGTTTCCCCGAAGAGGTCACCGAAAGGTAGCCAGTTGAGGGAGGCGACTGTATCTACGAAGGGCTCATGAAGAGCCCTGTAGTACCTCCCGTGGAGCTCCTTCTCCTTCCATACGGTCTCCCGGTCGGAAATGCTAAGCACTGCTGGGTCCTGCCATTGCTCGTGGGCTAAGGATAGAGGGGTAAGCCCTTTATCACTAGAAATGACGTCATTATAGAATGGATCATCCGATCTCGCCAGGAAGTAATCACGGAGGCTGCACACTTCGCGATTATGCATGGTGAGCGCGTTCAAAAAACCACGCCCACCATGCTTTCGCGGCAAGTACAGCCTCATTACCGACGATCTCGGATGATGCATCCTATGGGCCGTCATGGTAGTGCGGAATTTTCTATCCAGGACGTTACGTTCAGTCTGAGTCCACCTGAGTATGCCAAAGGTATATATGAGGACAGGCATGACCCAACCGTTATATGCGTGTGTCTTATTCACACCGGACAAAAGGCTGTTAAGCACTTTGGTCAAGCGTGCATAAAACACGTCGCAAACTGACTGTTTCATACCAGCCTCATCGATACCGATGTTTTGTGACATACCCAGGTATCGGTATGTTTCAGCCTCGGAAAGGGTCTGAAAGTTGACGGGCATAGATAAATCTATGCCCTCAGAGTTAGCGACCCTTCCCCTTTCAACATGAAGGACCGCACACTTATCCGTCCCCAGTTCCATTCCAATGGAATTGCTAAATTCACAAGTGATGTTTAGCAATTCCATAAGATGGGAGCGACTAGAGGCGAATAACTTGAGGTCATCCATATAGAAAAGGTGGGCCACTTTTGTTCCTCCTTTCCGTAGCTGAAATCCTCTCCCGGAGCCCTCCAGTAAGGTACTGAGAGGGTTCAGAGAGAGGCAGAACCAGATTGGACTCAGACAATCGCCCTGGAAGATACCCCTTCTTATCCTTATGTGGTTCTCCGCAGCCATCATCCGCTCGCCCTGATAACAGTGGATCGTACTCCACTGCCCCATACACTGCTCGAGGAAGTCTCTAACTGTACAGTCAATCTTGTACAGCTCGAGGACCCTCTTTAGCCATGCATGGGGCACCGAGTCGAATGCTTTTCTGTAGTCTATCCAGGCGGCGGAGAAGTTTTGACGGTTGCGTTTTACCACTTTGTGGTAACCCTGTCCATGGGCGTAATCCTCGCACACTGACTCGCCACAACTTCCGTCCAAGGGCCCTCGCTGTGGTTTACGGGCTCTGACCACAGGCCACGCCAAAATGCGACAGTGTTAGCCTGGTCCGGTCCTGGGCCCGCTCCACATACCTCTGGTCGCTCCAATGATTTGTAGAGCCTCTTCTGATCACTCTGGAAGAGACGATTCTGGTTGAACCGCCTTGACCTCTCAGTAAATCGGCGAATCCGCTTCCCCCAAGCAGCAATCTTTTGCTTCAGGTCGTCTATGCGCTCCGTTAGTTTCTGCGTGATATCCGGCTGGGACAAACTGATATTTGTCCCAGCAAACGCCATTCTAACGGTGCGCACAACCCTCGGTCTATTATTACCCGACCTGAAGCTTATCAGTCTGCCGATAAGGGCCCTTGCCTTTGCGATACGGTCCTCAATTCTTTTTTCTCCAGGCTGGGATGGCGCTACTTTGTTTAGTAGCGCATCCAGCCATGGGAAGTCTGGCGCCAATAATACGGCAAGCTGCCACTGCGGCGCCAAAAAAGAACTGAGTCCGTATCGCAAAGGTCCCGGCTGGCTTCCAAATAGGTTACCAGCATTGGGTTAAGAGCCCTCACGACAGCCCGATTTCGCTTGCTTAGAGGTATGCGGGGAAGTCGCGGTCGATTTTCGAGAGGCATGCTGCGCGTTTCCAAAATCGCCTCTTCCAATATACTCCTCATTTGCTCTAGTTCGTGGGAGACCATTTCATCATCATCTGAATCAACCACAACTGGAAGATCCATGGCGGCTTCTACGCGTGGCAACTGGTCTGTCGCCTGAGGAGCCGCATCCCCAGCCGTAGCCAATTCATTCGATGAGGGAATGGCCTCACGTCGTAGTCGTTCGAGTTCGGCATCATCGAATATTTTCGAGCGCATGATGTACCGAACTCGGTCTGCCAGGTTTTGTTCCGTGACGGGAATAGACGGCTCCAGCTCAGCAAAAAAGCAATGCATCCGAGCCCGATACGTTATCCCCGCAGTTTCTTCCCCTTTCGCCCTATAGTACGCCCGCAATGCGTTTGCGTTCATATCCCTTGTCCAACGCATGCGGCGCACTCCTACCAGCGGCGGATGCCGCTTGCCGAGTCCGAGAGGACCCTGCCGACATCAAGCCGTCTGGTGGGGATGATGGATGCGGGGGGGCTGTTAGGTGTTCTTGCAGCTCCTCGCACTCGGCTGGCGGCCCGCATGCTGCCGCGTCCAGCGCCAGCTCCAGACGCGCCCCGGCGCCCCCCAGGCAGCGGCCCTATACGTTTTCCAATCATATCCATCATCCATTTTTGGGCGCCAATTAACGGGAGACGCCCAGGCCCGGCACCGTTTCATTGTATCATTGTACCGCCGTAAGCACAAACGGGCCTTTGCACCCTGAGTACTGCCGAGGCACGGCGCTCACACCTCTTGGCAAGGCGCTGACTGACTGCACCGACGTAGCAGTTTTGTCACTTAACTGTTTCGTCAGCGGGCGATGGGGTCGTCACTTCCCTACGCCTTATTATTATTATTATTATTATTACATTCTTAGTACCTTTGTGTTTATAGTTTTCCCTCTTTTGGGCCGGCAGAATGTACGGGTTACCGCACACATTTTATGTAATTTTATTTCAATGACTCGTTTATTTAGGTCACGCAGAAACAATGCATTTGTCACTTGTGAAATCATGTAATTTCCGTACTTTTGCCTATACATCAATTTAAAATTCTTTACAATAAATTCAGTGTTAGATCGACTTTCATTGGTTTTGTTTCGTACACTATCTTTCCCTTGCATCTTATATACTGTATACACCTTACAATATCATATAACAGCTGTCAATTAAATAATAATAAAATAATGAAATATGTGTACATTGTAATGTTGGGAGGTTCGAGGAATAAATTAAACGTCTGGCGGTCGTGAATGTAGGTTTATTACTAACTCTAAATGTCTATTAGGCTATCATATATATAGCTACATGAGCATACACTAAACACACACTACACGCCCATCGGCAAAAAAGAAAAAAAATTGAATTACAATTTTTTTTTTCAATGAAACAAAACTTGGTGTAAGATTCAAAAAATTATTAACTATTTAAAATATTAAAATTCCTATCCTATATTAAACTTATAACATAGTAAAATAAAATAAAATATTGTAAACACTGTAATTTGAAAAAAAAAAAAATAACTTTCTATCTCTTTATTTAAATTTATTAAACTGTCATCAAATTTAAGTCTAATCTAAGTTTTTGTTTTAAATTGCTTTTAGGTTGCCTATCATAACTGCATAACATTTAAAATTTTCATATATAACTATTAATTCACTAGACACGAAAATACAGTTAAAAAAATAAAGTTATCAAAATTATTATAAGGCGTATATAAGGTTGTTTACAATATTATTATTTTCTTAAACTTAAACTATATTTTTAAATTTAAACCTTAAGATACTTTAAAGGTAAAAAAAACCAATTCCATTAAAATAGTAAGTATCCTTATTTTTAAGTAGATAAACTTCAACATACTTATTTAAATCACACTGTAGTGTGAGTATTACAAACATTACTAGCACTATGCTTACATAAGGGCCCTACTAAATCTAAATAAACTATATCAAAGCGGAATATCCCGTATCGGTTATAACTTATAACCATTGGTTCCTTTATATATTTATTTAAGTGTTTATATATATATATATATATATATATATATATATATATATATATATATATATATATATATATATATATATAATAGCAAACACTTGTCGCATACGATTTACATAATTAGGTAACGTTACTAATTATGTATATATAGTCTCTAACTCCGGTCAAAAAAATCTTTTCTTTGTATTGTTTATCATTCGCTTATAGGTACGCGACCGTTAGTTGGCGAAATATGATAGTCGGTTAATATTACATGTTTTGTTTCACGGCGGTTCTAGTGCAACATAATCATAATAATTAATCATAACAACAGGGATCAAATACAACTTACAATCTCAGCCGCGTAAGCGGTTTGTGACACCTTTGTTTTAATTTCTAATTATGTTCACGGGAACGTTTTTTCGATTACGTTGTGTAATGGTACCTAGTTTTAACCATGCATTAAAATGATATCGTAAATAAAATGAAATTAACTTTCCCAATAGTTTGTACCTCTATATATAGATTGCTACATTCAATTTTAAATTCATTTTGTAAAAGTATTATACTTTTACATAGGTACATTAACAAAAAAATCATTAATTAAGTTATTTATAATTTCGAAAACTCATTTATTCATGACATGAAATTTATATAAAAAAAAGAAAACACTAATATGTACACAGCTCAAATTTGTTTTACAAATATTTATTAACATTAAAAATAAACAATTTTATTTCAACCAGATAACATAATTTTAGGTTCCGTTGTCTTTTATAAAGAAAAACGTAAAAAGAATACTATTACATTAATAAATTTATAATAATAGTGTATCGATATACTCTGGGATTTATTTTATAAGCAAAATATAAACCAAATATAGTTTAAAATGTACAAATTTTATATAAAAAACATATGATAGAAAATTCAACCAGAATTATTGTAAATGCGAATTAATGTGTCTAAATATGAAAAAAATTTCGTAAATTCGTAAACAAATGTGGTTAAACAATTACGCGCACAACACATTTTCGCGTAGTTGTGTAAATCGATCCCTACAGTTATTACATGTGTAACGTGTTAGTGGCATTTTGGGTAGCATTAATGCAAAATAACTACCTATCTCACTATTAGATTATCATACATTTATCACACTTTTTAATTTGCTCGGAAATCCCCTTATAATCCTGTATTTTTGTCGATTAATAGGCCCTTTTTCCATAATTCTTGTACGTACTTTATTTATTCCTAATATTTTTGACCTTTAGCTAGCTCTCTTTCTCTCTATTCACTTATATGTTTATTTATTTATTCGATACCGGGAATCGGAGTATTAATTCATTTCATTTATATTTTATTTCGTGATTTTTATCACGCGGATACTTTATAAATATGGGCCCCCCATTTATTTGGGTATTATATTACATTTTCGTAACATTCATTTCATTTTATTGGTACATATTTTTTTTATATCGAGGTAAAATTTACCTTGGGTTGTGCGCACAACCTTGAGGTCTATGTTTTTTAAGTCACTTTAAAAGGACTCCAACAATTGTCACAGAGGAAAACTAAGTTCGCACCATGATCCAACGAAGGATATGACCTCAATGCACCATTAATAAGGGTAACAAATTTAAGACTTCTCTGGTCCCTAACAGTACTAATATGAGTAAACTCAGTTACATCACTTGTACTGAAGGCGTTGTTCCCTAGTACCCGTTACTCCGATTTCATCGTCCAATCACGGAAACATACCCTGCTCGAGGACTATATGCTATACCAGTGATGAACGTTCCCGTATCTCTCCATCATTTATTTCTGATGGTCATCTTTTTTGTTATCTTCGTAAATCTTTGTCTGTATCGGATACTTTTATATTCATTCAATCTCATTCCATCTCTTTTCAACTAAGCATATCGGTTTATTAACATAACCAGATTTTGGGCCCTAACATTGGCTAAGATAATATCCGATAGCCTAATTCCTTCATTCCAATTACTAGCAAAATTACTGCATAGTTCCTGACAATTTATCTAAATATCACCTATATCATCCTGCATACTATTATATTCCTTTCTTTGCCGAAATCTGTCTTCAACTTTCACACATTCATATCAAAACCTCAACATTCTTCAAGAACAAAAAAATTAACACAACCACAATTATTCATTGGTTGATGTAGCCGATTACAAAAATAGTTAAGCTAATGTTTTACTGTTACTTTTTACTTAACTATCTTTCTTTTCAGATATAAACACCATGCCAATATATTTGAACACAACCTATACAATATACAATTTCCTTTCTATAATTTAACACTTTTTTTTTCTATCCTTTCTTTTACTTTTTTTGTGCAAACAGTTCTTTGTTTCAGTTCCTAAACTAACATAGTAAGATATTATGTTATATAGTAAGGGTTGGCAACCCTATCTATAAAACCCAACGAACATTACAAGCCTAATTTTGTTATACCTTAATTAATTTTATGTGTGAAATGTTCTTAATAAATGTTTCTTCGCTTCTTTCAAAGTGAACTAGTGATCAACAAAATCAAACTACTAGTAATTCACACTACTGTTAAAATATATATAATGATTAATATACAACATGATCGATAGTGTACCTGTTAGAAATCTTTTAATTGCTTTTAATACTTCAAAGGCACAAATAATTGTTTTTTCCCCACTTCATAAACTTTATGTTTTGACATCATTAATTCACATCGCATTTTTTTGTCATATAAGTTGTTTAATATTTGTCTTAGCTTCAATAGTTCATAAGTCATTAGAGTTTAGAGCCATTACCTAAATTCAATAATCATATTATCTCAAAAAAAAAGTATCGAACTACTATACAGTTTTGTATTACAAAATAATAGTTTATTTTATCAAGTCTTTTTTATCAATTGAATACTGGATTTTAATCGTAGATAAAGTAAATGAAAAAGTATAAAGTCAATATTTTGAAGGCAAGTCAGGAGACAACAGTAGTGTATATTAATGCATCATTCTGTATCAACTACGTGTAATATTCCGATGCAATTCCGTGCAAAAGATCACGTCAGCATTGTTTAGAATTTGATGCGCAATGTTACTACAAAGAAAACATGATATTACATTTCGATGAATTCTTAAACAATATCTGTACAAAATATTGCAATTTTCATTATTAATAAAATATATCAGTTGATATTCTTTTGAGTTATTAAGTTAAGCTGCGTTTAAAATTTATATTATTCGTCGATCAATTTATATTTTACAAAATTTATTCATAAGTTGTCTTTTATCTGATAGCAATAAAATAAAGTTCCTCTTTTTCATTCGTTATGTTAAGTATTTTAGAAACAAATAGATAATTAAAGTAATCACAAAATAATAAGGATATGAATATACAAGTAGCACTTGCTTTCTATTGAGAGTGTTCCGTCTATTAAATGAACAAAATGAGTTAAAAATAAAAAATGGTAAAAATATATGATTGGTGACTAAAGTTATTATATTTTTAATTTTATGAAATTAGAATTTTAAAAGATATAAATACTTAATTAAAATCACTCACCTTAAAATATAATCATATAATTTGCATTTTATACAGTAATTATTTTGTAGATACATCAAGCATATTTTTTACATTACAGTCTCTATTAAATTTTTTTTTATGTTTCTTGAAAATAAAATACTTCCTGTTTTCTGGTACGTAATATGGAGTACACGAAAAATTCAGTCCTCCTAAAAACTGGCCACTCGATTAAATTCATGGTAATTTAAAATAAAAATATCTTCTTTTTTGTTTTCCTTGGTTGTTACGAGTTTTTGAAAATTGTGTATATATCTTGATAATGTAAAATTTCCTTTGTGAACACCATTGCGTACTTCAATTTAGATCTTCTCAACCAATATTCTTCTTATCCGGAGTGAAAAAGTTATTTCTCTTATCCTCTCTTCTCCTTTTTGATGCATCTTTGCCTTTTGATTTTATACTTCTTATGTTTTAATTTTATTTTATAACTATTTATTCACAATCATATAAATTTTTGATGGCTGGCTCTACACGACTTTAATTAATTTTCTCAATCCGGGAATGTGTCATATGTTCATGTGTCATAACTTTTATTTAACGATTTTTTATGTATTTGTTATAATTTTACTATCGGTGGCCAGCCGGTGCGCGCGGCGAGCGGAGTCGCGCGCGCACCGACTGGCAGGGTCGCCATGTAATGTTGGGAGGTTCGAGGAATAAATTAAACGTCTGGCGGTCGTGAATGTAGGTTTATTACTAACTCTAAATGTCTATTAGGCTATCATATATATAGCTACATGAGCATACACTAAACACACACTACAACATAAAGGAAACTGTCCAGAGATGAGCATGAAAGTGACCGCATAAATCATGGATACTATCCAGAGATGAGTATAAAAGTGACCGGAGAGTCAATTGTTGGGAAAGATTAATCGTTAGTTACAGTTTTATATGTGAGGGTGATAAACGAATACACTATTTGATGGTATATTGAGATTCATTCCTCACTTATTATTCCTGAGGATTAAGATCTTATTAAATATTGTATAACAATGATACCCCTTAACAGATATGTAAACGTTTAATAAAGTGTTGTAAAAATGCAACTTAATAAAAATTTGTTACTATGGACCCAGTTTGTTTTTTGGTTTTGATTGATTTGATTAGAAATTATTAAATTACACTAGAGATACCATCAGTTCTTTATATGCACGTAAAAGTTAAAAAAGTAAAATACGGGACTTCCGTTAATAATAATAATAATTTTTAATTTAAAATGGCGTAGGGAATTGACGACCCCATCGCCCGCTGACGTAACAGTTATGTGACAAAACCACTACGTCAGTGCAGTCAGTCAGCACCTTGCCAAGAGGTGTTAGTGAGTGCCTCGGCAAAAATTAAAGGCGCAAAGGCCCGCTTGTGCACATGGCCCCACTATAAAACGGCGCCGGGTCTGGGCGTCTCCCGTTAAATGACAATAATATGCAAAAACGCGCAAAGAGCCGCTGCCTGGAGGTTGCCAGGGCGCGTCTGGAGCTGGCGCTGGACGCGACAGCATGCGTACAGCCAGCCGAGCGAGAGGTGCTGCACGACCACCCATCAGCCCCTCGCATCCACCATCCCCACCATCTGGCTTGGTGTCGGCAGGGTCTTCGCGGGCCCAGCAATCGGCACCCGCCACTGGTGGAGTACGCAGCATGCGATGGACAACCGAAATGAATACTAACGCATTGCGGGCGTATTTTATGGCGAAAGGGGGAGAAGTTGGAGGTTTGGCGTATCGGGCTAGGATGCATCGTCTTTTTGGAGCCATCTTTAACCGTCTCAGAGCAAAACCTGGCAGACCGGGTTCGGTATATCTTGCGCTCAAATATATTTGATGTCGCCGAACTCGAACGACTATGTCGTGAGGCTGTTCCCTCATCGGATGAAAATGCTACGGCTGAGGAAGCGGCGCCACAAATTGCAGAGCACCCCACAAACGTGAATGCCGACGTGAATACCCCAGTTGTGGTTGATTCAAACGATGATGGAACAGTCGCCCAAGAACTGGAATTAGAGCATATGAGGAGTACATTGGAAGAAGCGATTGTGGAAACGCGCAGTACGCCTCTCGAAAATCGACCGCGACTTCCCCGCATAGCCCTAAGCAAGCGGAATCGGGCTGTCGTGAGGGCTCTGAACCCAATGCTGGTGACCTATTTGGAAGCCAGCCGGGACCTTTGCGAGACGGACTCAATTCTTTTTGGCGCCGCATTGGCAGTGTGCCGTATTATAGGCGCTAAACTTTCCACGGCTGGACGCGCTACTGGACAAAGTAGCGTTATCCCAGCCTGGAGAATAAGAATTGAAGAACGTATCGCAAAGGCTAGGGCCCTCATCGGTAGACTGATATGCTTCAGGTCAGGCAACAACAGGCCAAGGATTGTGCGCACCGTCAGGATGGCATTTGCTGGGACAAATGTTAGTTTATCCCAGCCGGATATAATGCAAAAACTGACGGAGCGCATAGACGACCTGAAGCAGAGAATCGCTGCTTGGGGAAAGCAGATTCGGCGATATACCGAGAGGTCGACACGGTTTAACCAGAATCGGCACTTCCGGAGTGATCAGAAGAGGATGTATAAATCGTTGGAGCGACCAATGGTAAGTGGAACGGGCCCAGCACCGAATCAGGCCGCCACTGCAGCATTCTGGCGCGGCCTGTGGTCAGAGCCCATAAGCCACAGCGAGGGCCCTTGGACGGAAGTTGTGGCGAGTCAGTGAGCTAGTATAACGCCCATGGACCCCGTCATTATAACGCCGGATGACGTAGCTGAGGCGGTCCGTAGGGCCCCGAACTGGAAAAGTCCGAGACTCGACGGGCTGCATCACTACTGGCTGAAGGGTTTTGTGGTGTGTCACACTGTGCTCGCCCGACAGTTCCAAGAGGCTCTCAACCAGAAGTCGCTCCCGAGCCTCTTCACTACTGCGATCACGCATTTGGTTCCTAAAGACCAGGTTACCACAGACCCGAGCAAATACCGCCCCATCACGTGTCTGCCGACCATATACAAGACACTATCATCCATTTTTAACGCGAGAATCACTCGTCACCTGGAACAAATCAGGTTGTGGAACAAAGGAATCACTCCTCATTGACGCGGTCATTGGCAAAGTGGTGAAACGCAACCGTCGGAACTTCTCCGTCGCCTGGATAGACTACAGAAAGGCATTTGATTCGGTGCCCCATACATGGCTAAAGAGGGTCCCCGAGCTGTACAGTATTGACTGTACAGTTCGAGACTTCCTCGAGCAGTGTATGGGGCAGTGGACTACGATCCTCTGTCATCTAGGCGAGCGGATGACAGCTGCGGAAAGCCGCATAAGGATAAGAAGGGGTATATTCCAGGGCGACTGTCTGAGTCCAATCTGGTTCTGCCTCTCTCTGGACCCTCTCAGTATCTTACTGGAGGGCTCCGGGAGGGGGATTTCAGCTTCGGAAAGGAGGTACAAAAATGACCCACCTTTTCTATATTAATGACATCAAATTATTCGCCTCCAGTCGCTCCCATCTTATGGAATTGCTAAACATCACTTATGATTTAGCAATTCTATTGGAATGGAGCTGGGGATGGATAAGTGTGCGGTCCTCCATGTTGAGAGGGGTAGGGTTGCTAACTCTGAGGGCATAGACTTATCTATGCCCGTCAACTTAAGGACCCTTTTCCGAGGCTGAAACATACCGATACCTGGGTATGTCACAGAACATCGGTACCTATGAGGCTGGTATGAAACAGTCAGTTTGCGACACGTTTTATGCACGCTTGACCAAAGTGCTTAACAGCCTTTTGTCCAGTGTGAATAAGGCACACGCATATAACGGCTGGGTCATGCCTGTCCTCATGTATACCTTTGGCATACTCAGGTGGACTCAGACCGAACTTAACGCCCTGGATAGAAAAGTCCGCACTACCATGACGTCCCATAGGATGCATCATCCGAGATCGTCGGTAATGAGGCTGTACTTGCCGCGAAAGCATGGTGGGCGTGGCTTCCTGAGCGCGCTCACCATGCATAATCGCGAAGTGTGCAGCCTCCGTAATTACTTCCTGGTGAGATCGGATGATCCATTCTATAATGACGTCATTTCTAGTGATAAAGGACTTACCCCTCTATCCTTAGCCAACGAGCAATGGCAATACCCGGCAGTACAAAGCATTTCCGACCGGGAGACCGTATGAAAGGAGAAGGAGCTCCACGGGAGGTACTACAGGGTTCTACATGATCCCTTCGTAGATACAGTCGCCTCCCTCAACTGGCTACGTTTCGGTGACCTTTTTGGGGAAACCGGGGGTTTTGTCTGTGCAATACAGGATCAGGTTATTAAGACCAACAACTATCGGAGATACATCCTAAAGGATGGCACCATCGACGTCTGTCGAGCTTGTCGCCATCCCGGTGAGTCACTTAGGCATGTCATCTCCGGTTGTTCGGCGCTTTCTAACTCTGAGTACTTGCACAGGCACAACCTAGTAGCCAGAATTCTACACCAGGAGCTCGCTCTGAAATACGGTCTCGTGGTTCGGAAATTGCCGTATTACAAGTACTTGCGGGAAGCCGTGCTCGAAAATGACCACGCTAGGCTACACTAGGACCGGGCCATCATCACAGACAGGACTATTCTTGCGAATAAGCCTGATATTGTGCTCATGGACCAGGCACAGTCAAGGATATTTTTGGTCGACATTACCATTCCGTATGACGAGAACCTCGTGAAAGCCGAAACAGATAAATGAACAAAATATCTGGACCTGGCTCACGAGGTGACCGATATGTGGGGTGGTCTGCCGGCCGAAATTATTCCTGTAGTCGTCTCTGCGAATGGGCTAATCCCAGTCAGCCTCTCGGGTAATCTGAGGCGACTGGGACTACGTGGCGGACCGCTCCGGGCTCAAATGCAGAAGGCGGTGCTCCTCGATACCGCCCGCATCGTCCGCCGGTTTCTTTCTCTTTCCTCCTAACCCTCGGCCGTTTGGTCTCCCCTGCCGAGGGCTTCCATCTGGTTGGGCTTTTATTTATTTATGTATTTTTGTACTTATTTTATTTTATTGATATTTATGTATATTTGTCTTTCCATTTTCATTTATAATTATATATTTATATAACCCAACCAGATGAGAAAACTATATAGATACCCCAAATAATAATAACCCCCCCGTGGGATCACCTTGACGTGGTGGAGGGGCTTACGGGATTAAGTACTGGTAACTCGGCCTTAACATCTTGCCAATAAATAACCTACCCAAGCTAACGATCCTGAACCCATTTTATGGAGAATTGTATGGACAGTCAATCTAAGAGATATTGTTTACGGCCGCTTCTCGGAGTTCGTTGGGGCGCATCTGGAGCCAACGCTGGATGCCACAGCATGCGAACCGTTGGTGACGGGGGACTGAACAGGCGGGTTCCCCTCGAAATAATTGCTACAGCCGGACGATCACATCTACCCGATTCACCTTCATCTACGGTGTCTTCCGAATATTCACTCTTTGGTTATATTACATCACTTTCAACAATACATAGCTTATTTCGATCACCTGATTCATCACCATCATCTTCATATACATCAAGAATTACAAGGTCAACAGCTGTTGTGCAGGAGGCATCAGCTACTAAAGCTGCACCCACTGTTGGGCAAAAAATTGGACAGAAGATATGAACCGCTTTATTTGGCGTACATACCTATTAATAACTAAATGCGAAACAACTCACATGAATAATTACCTAGAAATTTTACACCAGGAATTTGGAAGTAGATATCCCGAAATGAAAGCCACTCGGCAACGACTAGGAGACCAAAAACGAGCTATATTAAGAAGAAAACTACTGCCACAAAAACTATTGGACGAAATAGGTAATGAAGTAAGAGAATATATTATACAGAATGAGAACCGTAAACACACAGCACTCAAATTACAGCACCGTCACTAACAAATACTACGAACAATACCAGGATGAAATGGTCGGATGAAATAAATGAAGACATCATTAGGTTTTATCTTGAAGTAACTGAGTTGGAGAAAGATCAAACTGGCTACCGGAAAAAATTGTATGAACTGTTCATAGAAAGACATCCATATTTATCTTACCTTACTGAACAGAGGATTGCCGACCAAAGAAGATTAATATTTAAAAATAAGAAATACTCAAATAAAATACAATTGAATTGAGAAGAGAAGTAGAATTGAAATTGCAGCTTAATAATCGAGAACTAGTAAGAGATCAAAATTATACCGTAGTAGCACAAACGCAACAAACCCCGTATGAAAGCACAACAGACATCTTTACACCCACACAGCATACTCAGCTTGAAAACATGATAGATAGCACAAACACTGTCATAAAAACATGTACATTAAGTAATGCTCAAAAGAAAAACTCCCAATTACAAAACCTCATGGAAAAGTAATAAAATTGAAATAGAATTTAATAATGCTATTGCAATATTTAGCACAACTGATGCTGAAGCAAGACCATACATCCCAAAACAGAAATATTCACGAAAATTTGCACAGATTGTTCACTACTTGAATAATGAAATTTTACCGAGGCATCTTAGTCACGATTTAGATTTTATTTCATTACATACCCTAATATATTCAGCAGCTTATACAGCCGCCTTATGTAATGGTACCGGAGTTAACACAGAGGGAAATATAACTGCAAACAATCGAAATAGACTCTGACACCACCATACACATAATCACCGTATACAAACCGCTAAACACAAATAAGTTATGCTGTATTCAAGAATTATCTGTACTAATTAAGCAAATTCCCGAATACGGGACGTCGTTATTGCAGGGGATATGAATATCAACTTATTAGAAAAAAATACATCATCATCATTACAGCCCTTCACAAGTCCACTGCTGAACATAGGCCTCCCCCCAAGTAATGCCACAAAGCACGGTCCTGAGCCACCTGCATCCATCGACTTCCTGCATGTCTTACCAGGTCGTCACTCCATCTAGTGGGGGGTCGCCCTACACTACGCCTACCGGTACGAGGCTGCCACTCGAGAACCTTTCTTCCCCATCGGTTATCGGTTCTTCGAGCTACATGGCCGGCCCATTGCCACTTCAGCTTACTAATCCGTTGGGCTATGTCGGTCACTCTGGTTTTACTGCGGATATCCTCATTTCTGAGTCTATCACGCAGAGAAACTCCGAGCATAGCCCTCTCCATAGCTCGCTGAGCGACCTTAAGCGTCCTCATACGGCCAGCAGTGAAGGACCACGTCTCAGATCCGTAAGTCATCACTGGCAACACGCACTGGTTGTACAATCTAGTTTTTAGAGATTGAGGTATACCTGACGAAAAGATATGCCGTAATTTCCCGAACGCTGCCCAGCCGAGTTGAATCCGTCGATTGACCTCTCGGTCGAAGTTGGACTTACCTAGTCGGACTATTTGTCCCAGGTAAACGTATTCGTCAACAACTTCGAGCATAGTGCTCCCAACAACTACCGGCATAGGTGTGACATGGACATTGAACATGATCTTTGTTTTGTCCATGTTCATCTTAAGACCTATCCGTTGGGAGGCACTATTGAGGTCATTGAGCATAGTGCTTAAGTCCTCCAGCGATTCTGCCATAAGGACTATATCGTCGGCAAATCGAAGGTGAGTGATGTACTCGCCATTGATATCAATACCGTATCCTTTCCAGTCCAGTAGCTTGAAAACGTCTTCCAATGCAGCGGTGAAGAGTTTCGGGGATA